GCTTGCCAGGCAGGTGAAAATTTGTATTTGTAAACTAGCCTTCATTCATTCTTTTAAATACTTTCTGCTCTTCTGTCTCCCACATATTTTAAGATGTAATTTTTTTTTTTTTTAAGGAAGGAAAGGTTTATTTAACTCACAGTTACTGGAGGTTTCTGTCCATATTCAGCTGGGTCCAGGCAGAGCAGCACATGGCAGAGGGCAACGTTTCACAGCAGTGGCAAAGAGCAAGACTGTGGGGCGCTCAAGAGAGGTAGCAGCAGCTCGGGCAGCTAGCTTCTCTTCCCACCTTAGACTGAAATGCATATTCCCTGCCCCAGGGCAGGTGCAGCATCCACACCCACAGTCATCAATCACAAACTCCAGAGGGGCTTTGGGGGGACACCTAGACACAAACCGTAACAATACTTGATGTTATGAAAAGTAATAAAATATCACAATGTCTTCAAATATTAAATTGGTCATGAAATAAAACACACATGCAAATACAGTTTGGGCTGAAGGCTTTAAACAAAGTACATGCAGAAGCAGGAGAAAGATGTCTCAGGTATGACAGCATGTTAAAAATTAAAATTTGACAGTTAAATATTATATGATAGGTCACTGCACTCCTTTGCCTTTAAGTGAATCTATATATCATGAAGGAAATGTTATATATTGCTATAAAAGTCCTCAAAATAAGAGTATGAAATTCTATTCCAGTTCTTGGTATTAACTAAGGAAGTTGGGGGCCAGGGAGACAGATCAGTGGCATAAGTGCCAGCCTGGAAAGCACAAGGTCCTGAGTTCAATCCCTGTACCCCAATTAAATTTGTTAATATTAAGGATTTAAGTTTTAAAATAAAAATTCCATAGCTATGAGAAGAATATTCTCCAAAGTACTATTTCTTGTTTTGTTCGTCTGGTTATTTTGAGATAGAAATTTCAGCAGTGTTGAATTGCTGGGCTGATAGTTCCAGAATGAAGCTCAAGAAGTAGGTGCCTTCTCTGTGCCATCAGACTAGGGGAAAAAGAGATGCTGGTCAAACATTTAAGGTTCCTGAGTGGTGGCAGTACTGGGGTACACATCGGGCCAGAGCTGTTCACCAGGGCCAAAGGCCGAATAACACACTGCCAAGACTGCAAGTAACGAAAGATTAAGAAGTCTGTGAATCTCGCTGAATTCTCATTTCTGCTTAGTCTTCTACTGAGTAAGATAATTTGGTGACTTCAGCAAGATCTTTCTAGCTTGTGGCTGATAAGTCAGAGTTCATTCTGTCAGACTGCTAGATTTACACTTATTTTCATTATCTTACAAGTGACGGTAAAGACTTATCTGAACAATGTTCCCCCACAAAGCTCTGATTTTATTGTGGTAAAGGATCAGCAGGAATCTAATTTCTTTTGCACTTGGGAGATTAATCTTCAGTATGAGAACCGAGGGACAGAGGGGGAACAGATAGCTGCCGATACTGGGCTCCCTCTAGGATCCAGCCATGAAAATGTAGGATGGGATTTTAGGAGCAGTTTTGGGTGAAGAGAAAGTGTTTTCTTTTTCATCCAGCGCTGGCCTTCTCACTTGTGGCAGGACAAAGCCATTGTGTTTGCTTGGGCTTTTAGAAAACGGGATCACATCATCTCTGATGTGTGGTTTTTGTTTTGGTTTTCTTTTTTAAGCAGCTTTTTATGAGCAGCTTCACAGTTCATGCCTTTGTTGTCCTGCTGCACAGTAGGGAAAGGGCGACAAGAAGTGAGCTGAATCAAGGCCTTTCAGGGAGACGCTCTCGGTTTGTCATTCCTCTGTCCTTTTCAGTCTCTTGCTTTTTAGGTTGGTCACATTTTCTGAGAATCTGAAGTTTTTGACTGGTGTGTCATGGGCACTCAAGGTAGGCAGAAGAAGTGCAGGTGAGCAGTACTTCAAAGAAATAATTATGAAGAAAAGAAAAAAGCCTGCTTGTTCTTAAGGTTGTATGAAACAAGATGTAGAACATTTGGAGTTTTAAATTTTCATTCTTAGTGACTTACTAATTTCAGAACCCTTAAGACTTGGGTCATTGTTGAAGCAGCCAGGTCTTGAGGCCATAATTGACTTATTCCTAAAGCAGATGAACATACGTGTTTCAGATTTCTTGTAGGTGACTTGGCACAGGAGTAGTTTTACTGTTGAAAACCTTTTGTGCCACTTTCCGCAGAGGGATTGTGTGTGATCAGTAGGGCCAGGACTAGGACCAGGGCTCTCCCTGCACACTCGGCAGTCTCTGCTGAGGACCCCTGTCCCTGGCAGACAGCGCAGCCATTGTTTCTTCTCTTGGGCCCATTCTGGGCATAGCCGCCTTGTTGTTGTTTCTTCTTTTCATAACCCGAGGTTGAGTCTTCAGTTCTTTTTTCTACATGCATTTAACTTTTAGTGGAATACATTCTTCTGGTTTAGCTGATATGAATTTATTACAGTATGTGTTATAACCCTGCAGTTGTGAAAAGAGCACTTAGTTGCAGCGGAGGCAGGTCATCCTGACTCACACGCCTGCTTCCTGAATGTGGCTAAGGGAAAAGCAGTTTTACTCTTTGGGCCTGCCTGGGCTTCTTGGAGTAAGAGATTATCAAGACTTCCAGCATTGTTTCCACTATTGTGCTTTCTATTTCATGGATGCTAAGAGCATCAGAAGTGGGGTGTGGCTGGGTTGCTGAGGGCCCTGTACCTGTGAAACCATTAAGTTACCCCCCACCCCCCAGATGCTCTCAGTTAAGTGACAGGTGTGTTACACCGTCAGTGATCAAGAGGTTTGGAGGAGAGGTTCTGCCTGTGGCCAGTTTCCACACTAAAAAAGAAAAAATGTTTGCATTTCTAGGAAACCGCTGTTTTTCAGACTTTAACATGTTACTGGATACATGGGTTTGAATTTGTAAATTAAGGACTGCAGGTCGGGTGTTTTTTAACTGACATGCTTGGGACCAGAAGTGTTTCACATTGCATTTTTTTTTTGGTTTTGGAATGTTTGTGTATACATAGTAAACCATTTTGGAGATGAGACTCAAACCTGAAAGCAGAATTCATCAATGTTCCATGTATACCTTACAGGCATTGCCTTGAAGTAGAGCAATGTTTTAGAAAACATATAATTTTACACAATGTTTCAGAAAATTTCATGTATGAATCATTTTCGTAGTTTGGATTTTACACTTATCCTGTCATGCTGGCATTCAAAAGCTTTGTATTTTGGATTTTTTTCTGATTTTAGATTTTTGGATGAGTGATGCTCAGTCTATATTGAGTTCAGATAAGTGAATATTTATTAATTATTAGCTCTGTTATTCAGATAAGAGGCAGCCTAGGATAAGGCTGATAATATAGCAAAGTTATTCCATTTTTGTTTATATTCTCATATTCTTTAAAAAAAAAACACACTCACTTGGGCCAGCAGTATAGCTTAGCAGACTAAGCGCTTGCATGTCACACTGGCCCCACCCCTGGGCGCGCTGAGCTGGGATGGAGTCCAGGTGTAGTGGTGCATGCCTGTAATCCCAGCCTAGCACCACGGAGGCAGAAATCAGGAGGATCACTATGAGTCCAAGCTGCATAGTAAGATCCTGCACGCACACACACACACACACACACACCCCTTAAAAACAACATCAAAACCCTCACTTAAAACAATTTTATGAGCAATGTATATTAACTGTATAAAACTTGGAAAACACCAAAAGGGAAATTTAAGTAGCTTCCAAAAATGCTGTGATTCACATGTTAGTATCTGATTGTGATCATAGTATATATATTGATGTCTTTTTCTTGCTGTATTCTTTTTGAGGTGATTTTTGGGGACTGAATGTAGAAATCACTGTAATATTATGCATGGCATACTTGTGATGAGAACTGTTTTGATTTACAGATACAGAACTGTGGACTAGTACCTAAAAATAACATTTGTCCTGTAGATGTTGTCATCACTGTTACTCAGTTTAACAGATGAAGACGTCCTCATCTGTTGGCTTGTTTGTTTTTTTGGGTTTTTTTTTTTTTGGCAGAACCAGGGATTGAACTCAGGCCCTTGCACTTGCCAGGGAAGCGCTTATTCCACTGAGCCATCTCCCCAACCTCTGGCTCATATTATCTGCTAATTCTTTTCATGAGCTTCCTTGTTTGAGTCTTTCTGTGTCAGTATTGCTAACTACAACAAAGTAAGCATAGGTTGTTTTAATGCCATTTTCTGAGTGCCCTGAATAATCAGGCATGGTCACTAGGGTGGGCTGGGACATGTCTGGCAGCAGGATGATTAAAGGATTCCTTTTGCCCAGATAGAGTATATGTTTGATAATATTTATGATTTACATGTTGAATATTGGTTTTATATATCATTTCCTCTATTGGGAAATGAAAAGTTAATTTCCCATTTGGATTGTGTAGCCTATAAAATGTTCTGTGAGGCCCATTGCACTGCGTTGTGAATACAGGTCTAAATCCTGAACTGCATTAGAATATTTTCATGGCCCCGACTCCCGTGTCTTTTGGTGGCGTCCTTTGAAGTCTTAAATGTTTTCATGTTTGATTGAGATTAAATCTGGGTTTCATTTTACTTTTAGCCATATTGAGCAAGTTAATTTTCTGTTTGAGTTTCTAAGGCGAATGACTCCAGGCCTCTGTCCCAAGAATTCAGACCAAGCCCTGCCAGAACATTCCTGTGGTTTTCCATGGGGCAGATCACTGTGTTCATGAAATTTTAGTTGTAGCTTGTGTTTTCCGTGGTTAATTAAAACATCTGGCTTTTAAATTTTCCACAAACAGAACAAAGTCGTGTGGCCATACCTTTTCAGTAATGATTAGATATTTCGGCCCTCCTCTCAGCATAGCCCTGGCTTGTCTTTAGGATGGTATCTTATGAGCTGTTATCTCTGTTCATCAATGATTTTAAACATTTGGAAGGTGCATGATGTTATCTTGCCAACTATGTGCTCTTGAGAGAGAGAGAGAGACGGTTTGTGAATATGAATCCTTACAATGGCTTCTGGCCTTTGCCCTCCAGGTTGGAGCTGCCCTGGGTGAGCTGCTGCAGTCTCTAGCCAAGCATGCTGTGGTCGGATCTGCCCAGCCGCGGAACAGAAACTTTTGCTGGATGGAAAATCCATAAAAGAAAGCTCCTGTGAAACACTGAGACAGAGGACAACTTCAGCAAGATCAGGTTGGTATAAACATAAGAACTGCTGGCTGAAGTTCACTGGGTCAGATCGGGAAAAGTTGTTTTGTTTCTTCTCATTGTTTTCGAGACAACTTTAAATAATTATCCTCAGTTGTTTGGGAGATTCCCAGTATCCATCAGAAGTGTATTCTCACAACTTTCTTGGTAAGGTGTGTTGTTGTCTTCCTTTCCTTCTCTGTCTCTCTTCTCCTTGTTCCCACCCTGGCTTTCATCTTTTCTCTCTCTGAGAAGAAGGCTCTTCAGCACAAATTTCGAAAAGGTCATCTGCAACAGCCTCAGTGACCTTGGCTTTATCCAGAGAGAAGGTCATAAGGTCATGTCTGCCTTCGCAGGGTTACGCAGGACTTTCAGAGTCTTGGGCTTATTTATGTACTCACACTGGGAAATTGGATCGTTTCTGTGGGGGATGCTTCAAGCTGTACATGCTGTGTTTGCTTGAAGTACTTGATTATAAGTACTTCTTTCCCCCTAAACAAAAACTACCAACACATTCTTTTTCAGCAGTGTGTGCATTTGGCATTAAGATACTTGTGTAGGACTGGGGAAGGGAGAGGCCCTGAGTATCATAAGCATTTCAATGAATGCAGAATAGCCTCACTGTGAACCAGGAGAATGAAACAGCAACAGTAACCCCATAGGTGGCAGTAAGATGGAAAATAACTCATTTTGAGAAAGTCTATTATACAGGGATGGAGTTGTAGATAGTGTCTGTTGGCTGTTCATGGGTGATACCACATGATTCATAAAAAGCAGTTAACAAGCACTTAATAGGAAGGCATGAGCCAGCAGGCTTTGAGAGTCAATGAAGTGATGACTGTCTGTTGACCTTCGCCACCAGCATCTCTTTCTCTCTTCTTTTAATAAGTCACCCACGCTCTCCCCAGGCAGTTACCCTTGCCTCATTGTTGGTCTGTGTAGTTAGAGGTGGTGCCTTTGCTGACTCGTCCTGGGCATGTGACATAGCCTGACCAGTGATGATCACAGTGGTGTTAGTAGAGGGACCCCCACAGTACTTCACTTGGGGGAAGCACTATTGTGGAAACATTTGAAAAGAGAGTTAGCTTTCCTTTTTGTGAGTTTGCTAGGCTGGAGCTGCTAGTGCCAATCTGTGTGTGTGTGTGTGTGTGTGTGTGTGTGTGTGTGTGAGTGATTGAGCTCAGGGCCCCGTGCATTCTAGGCAAGTGCTCTACATCTGAGCTATATCCCCAGCTAGAAGGAAAGACTTTCTGAGAATTAAGTCAACATAGAAGTCAGAGCAGGGAGATAGATGAAAGGAGCAGAAAAGGGAGGGACCTCACCCCCCATAAACACAACACATACACACATAGAAATGTATAACCATATTCATACAAATGCTCAGATACACACTGATGCACATACATACCCAAACACACATATGCATACATACTTTGTATACTCATGTATATGTGTGGGCACAAATTTGGCCCTCAGTTGAGCGTGCATCAGCATCTGCCATTCCACTTTGCTGACAGCTTAGGTAACTGTGCCATTTACACCCCGTACTTCCTGATGGAGTCCCTTCTAGGTATGGAGCTCAGTGCATAAGCGACTGTGGCTTAGTCCCTATCTTTGGAGGCTCATGGTATAAGAGAGGGCCTGGTACCTCTTTGTGGGGCTGATGTGTCCCATGAAAGTGTATAGTGGTAGAGCAAAGCTCTGTAGGAACAGAGGTACAACTATTCTGCTGGGTGGTGGAGAAAATAGGAGAAAGCACTTTTACCAAAGGAGAAATAGGACTTAGGCTTCAGAAACATTTTAGAGAGCCATTCAATTCACTTACTTGCTTTTTCCAGTGTAAAGAAAGGAAGGCTTTCCAAAGCCTGTAGTTAAAGTAAATTGCAGATAAGGAAGCTAATTTCAGAGCCTCCTCAGTAGTAGAATCTTGTTATTGACTGTAAATACAATTGTTTCAGGAGCAGCCAAATGAGAGGTTATCAGAAAGCTGCCCAGAGTTTATTTTAACACCAGAGGGGAGCAGCCATTGTTTTCACCAAAACCTCAGAGCTGGCTTTGTGTGCAGAGCAAATTCCAGCTGTGCCAAGGAATGTTGAAACTTTGTTTCCTCCTGTGACTGTTAGACTTTATTATCACTTTAATTTTTTGTAATTAACATAATTTGCTTAATCTTGACTTATCAGACTTGTGTTAGGGAGTTTAGATTATGGAAATTTGGGGCAGAACATACAAGAGAGTTTTCCTATAACTCCTGTTGCCAGTTTTTTCTTCTGTTGTCCTGCATTAATGTTATAATTAATGAGCCATTTTGATATATTAGCTGAAGCTCATAATTTGTATGAGGTTCACTCCAGTTTATATGTTCTACAGATGCTGAAAAATATTTTAATAGTAACAAATTTTTGTATGCTATGCAACTATAGATCGTGTTATAAATATATATCATACAAATATATCATAATGTAATATCATACAAAATAGTTTCACTGTCCTAAAAAATCTCAGTGTCCTACCTAGTGATCCCTTCCTGCCTTTCCTCGATTCCCTCATTATTTTACCATCGCTGTAGGGTTACTCAGAATGCCATCTAATTGGAATCATAGACTACATAGTCTTGCAGATTTGCTTTCTTCACTGAACAAAGTTCATTTAAAGCTCCTCTGTCTTTTCATGGCTCGGTAGGTCATTTTTTTGCAGTGCTTAGTAACACTTCATTGTGTGGTTGTTCCACAGCTTGCTTACTCATTCACCAGCTGGAGAACATCTTGTGTGCCTCCAGGTTCTGATGATGATGGATAAAACTGCTATAAGCATTTCATTGTGAGGTTTTTGTATGAAAGTTTTAATTCAGTTAGGTTTTTTGTTATTAAGTATGATGTTAGCTACACAGATGTTCTTTATCAAGTTGAGAAAATTCCCCTCTAGTTGTAGTTTTCATGAGAGAATACTAGATTTTTTTCAGGTTTGTTTTTTTTTTTCTGTAAGTATTGCTATGTTCATATGGATTTTTTTTTTTAAGTTTCTTTTTTTTTTGTGGTAATGGGCATCTAAATCAGGACCTTGCACTTGCCAGGTAGGCACTTGTGCTGCTGAGCTATCTCTCTGGCCCTCTTTAGTTTCTTATGTGATGGATTATGTTAATTTTAATTTGAACATTCAGCCAGCTTTTTGATAGATATTACATCAAATCTCAATATCGAGTTCTTTTTAAATTTTCTTTTTAAAGAGAATACAACCTAGTACTAAAACAAAGCAATTATAAATGATACAGAATTTCACTAAACAAAATATGAATTTTGTAGTATTTATTGTAGTGCATAGTGTTGCCTTCAAACTAGTTGTTCATATTACTAGATATATGCATGCAAAATTGGAAGAAGAATAAAATATATAAGAAAGTAAGAAGAGAGAAAAAGGAAAAGAATTGAATAAAGAAGATAAAACAAATTAAAGATTAACTATTCCTTTCCATAGAACAGCAGAAATCCACAGTACAGTTGTCCCAACCATCCTACTTACATACATAGATATGTTTCCCCACTCCTTCTCCTGTCTTTCTCAACTGAGTAATTCCTTCCTTTTGAACAGGTTCATTCCCTTTTTCCAGTATCTATTATACCCTTCAGATTTTATTTTCTCTTTCAGGTTCTTACACTAAAGAGACAATACGATGTTCGCACATGCAAGTCTGATTTATTTCACTTAAAAGTGTCTTCTTTATCAGTTCCTCAGTTGATGGCCATTTGGGTTGCTTCCAAACTTTAGTTATGGAAAATTGCTCTGCTATAAACATGGGTGCATACATATTGCTGTGCTATGATGTTTTCAGTTCTTCTGGAAAAATACCCAGCAGGGGAATAGTTGGGTTGAATGGAACTTCCAGTCCTAGCTTTTGAACCTCATACTGATTTCCAGAGTGGTTTTACCGGTCTGCACTCCTACCAACAGTGGAGAAGGGTTCCTTTTTCCTCACAACCCCTGTATCATTTGCTACTGGTTGACTTCTTGATCATAGCACTATCAAGAGTGCTAATCCATGAACACAGGTTTGTTTTCATTTGCTTAGGTCTTTAATGTTTTTTCAACTTTGTTGTATTATTTTCAGTGTGTAAGTCTTATACTTCCTTGTTAAGATTGTTCCTTTTTTTTTTTGTTTTAGCCTTTACAAATGGAATTGTTTTCTTAATTTGATTTTTGGGTTATTCTTTGCTAATGCATAGAATACCATTAATTTTTGTTTAATGATCATGTTTCCAGTGACTGTTGTTTTTCATGTAAGTGCTGATAATTTTTAACGTGTTTGTAACTTTCTTAGTATTTTCTTTATAACAGATTGTATCTTCTACAAATATAGTTTATTTCTTGCCCAGTGGGGATGTTATTATCATTTTTCTGCAGTAATTTGAAAACTTGACTGTGATAGTAGAAGTGTGTAAAATTGTACAGTTTGGAGTTTCTTATGAAATTGTTCTGTTTAGATTTTTTATAAAGATACAAAATGATAATTATGAAATTCACTTCCTCATAGTTGACCTTCTTACTTCATGCTCTTTGTTTTGCTTGGGTAGTGGAGATGGCACAGATGTGCATTCCCAACCTTCTTTTACTTTTTGAGACGGTTTCACTAAGTTACTGAGTTGTCAGGTTGTTTATGCTGGGCTGGAATTTGCTGTCCTCCTGCCTCAGCTTTGAAAATACTGGGATTTCAGGCACGTTACAGGCATGCAGCACCACTTCTGCTCAGTCAAGCATGTTTTGGCCATGCCTATATTTTCTTAGGGAAAATCACTGTGCAGACTTTTTGCCTATTGTTATATACGATCAGTGTGCTGTGTCTGTACTCCTGATATAGTCCCTTGTTAGATACCTGATTTGTACCTACCTTCCTCCAGTCTCTGGGCTTTTCTTTTCATTTTTTATGCTGCTGTGTTTTTATATTCATAATGAAATTGTGTAAATTTAAATTAATCTTAAATGTTATCAGTATAGGAAATTGTGTGTGTGTG